CGCGGCTCCCGGCGCCTGCGGCCTCCTGTGCTGTGGAATGACGCCGCTCCACGCAGCCCGGCGGGGCGAGCGCTAGAGGTGAGCGAGAAGCCCTGTCTCGCTTTAATTACTGCCTTAATGTTATTCTTTTCAGTGCCATGTTAATTGAAATTAAACAGCTGCCGCGTTCTGGCTGGGACAAAAGCGAATCCTTTCTCGCTGCTCTCTGATTTAATGAAGACTGACGTGCTGTGAGAAAACAAAAGGCAATTCAGCTGCCATATTTCACTGAAGCACACACAATCACCAATTAAAGGCAAAAGGAACTGTAAACCCGAGCCGGGACCGAGCTGGAACGGACAGACCCACTGCGCCCGTTTTAAAGAGACAGGCAGCCTGGCCTCTGGGCAGGCCCCGGGCAGGGAGGCATCAGCGGGCCCTGGCGATCCCAGCCCTGCCTCGCCATCCTCTCGGCCCCCGGCGGGAGACCCGCGTCGCCGCCTCTCCCACCACAGCCGGGGCACAAGACGCAGGGCAGACGTGGGCATCGCAGCAGGGTGGCAGAGATTGCGCCGTGCCCACCGACCAGCCCGGGGCTGGCTCCTGGCAGGGGCACACGTGGCAGCCCGGGGCTGTGGTCTGGCCAGCGAGGGCACACGCGGACGTCTGCAGAGTTTCCAGGCTTGGGCCGTGGCCAGGCCCGGGCAAGGTCAGAGCGCGGATGTCAGCGAGTCTCCACCGCCCACGAGCCGCCTCCCTTCCCAAACTGAGGGCGCGCCGGCGATGCCATTCCGCATTTAAAATATGCAAAACGAGGAGCCGGTGCAGACCTCATTAACACCCGCCTCCAACATCATTAAGATGTTTCCAAGAAAATTAATTGAGAGACTCATTAAAAATAAATTAAGAAAAATGTGTTGCAGAGCGCTTGCTCCGAGCTCGTAAATCATGGCTCAGAGCTTCGGGCCGCTGCACAGGCAATTAACGCCAGCCGATCTGTTTTATCCTGACTGCGAAAATTAGAAAGCAGACGTGGAGATTAGATTAGGGACGTCTGTCAGGCGGAACTCGGAGCGAATATTTTAGGATACAAAATGGAAATCAGGAAAACAAAGGGAGCTGAGATTTCACTCAGAGGAGCCGGCAGACAGGGTGGGGGAGGGATTCAGAGGTTTTCTGTTGTGAGGAAAGGTTGGCGCTGCGTCTGTTCAAACGCGTGCCCACCCCACGCCAGCGCTTCCATTGGCACACGGACGCCACGTGCCCCCCGCGGCCGTGGGCAGAGACACTGGGGGCCCAGCATGGAGGACAGCGTGCACCGGCTGCGTCTCATACCCCCACGCCACCACGGCTCCCCTCCCCATGCTGATTACACACCACGATCCGCAAACACGGGCTGCTGGCGAGGCCACGTGCCGGTGACTCAGCTCCGCACCACGGCACCACACTGCCCATCCCTAACACCGTCCATCTGAGGATCTCGAGCCACTTCATCTTCACGAGCTGAACCTCGCCACCCTGCCAAGAGGCGCCAGCACTGCTATCCCCATCTTACACTGGGGAAGCAAAGGCCCAGACGCATTTAGCACCTGATTTTCAGAGCCTGAACTAACTGCCCGTGCATGGGCCAAGAGGGTATCTGTGCTCCCAGCAACAAGGTAAACACAGGCTGTTTGCACAGACAAGGGCCCCGCTAAGCGGGAGCAGGGACAGCCAGTAGCACGCAAACAACACGCGTGCATTTGCAAACTGAGCACAGGTCATTTAATAGCCCAGGTCCAACAGACCGCGCCAGGATCCGACAGCGAGCCCGCGCCCAGCTGGGACAGGAGGCCAAACTTCTGACCCTGTGTCTTGACCCCAGCGAGAGGGAGGCAGTGCCTCTGTCCAGGAGACCGCTGCGCTGGTCCCAAGCTGAGCTCCCCACCGGCCACGCGAGCCAGCGGAGGGACCTGGCGTCTGCCTTCCATGAGCAGGTGCCCGGTTTCTTGACATGGCCCCTCCCTGCCGACCTGTGCTGGGCAGAGCTCAGGCTGCCACATGCCAGGAAGGCGGGGAGCTTTCACGTGGGTAGAGGGAGGTTGAAATGTCTTTGACTGTCTCCAGCCCATGGCAAAGGCCCCTGCATGGTTCGAAGCCCAGCTCTGCCACGCACCTGAGTTACAAACCACCCCTTCCCCGCTCACCCTCTGTGCTGCACCCCCTGAGCTGCAACTCGCATGCACCCTCGGCCCTGGGATCCCGCCTGCTTCTGGGGTCCATGCTTCAGGAGGGGCACGGAAAGCCTGATTCACCTGAAACGCTTCATGTGGACTTGCAACCCCGAGCGATGGTGTTTTTAGTCACCAGTGTCAGGCCATTTTGAACCTGTCCATGTTACCTTCCTCTGCCAACTCCTCATGTGCCTGAAAAGGCCTCCGACGTCCCGCGAGGAATGCACACACCTTATGCTTTCCTAGACTGCACCATCACCATTTCCCAAGGAGCTACGAGTCGACCAGCAGAAGGGAAGAATTCACTTAGAGCAAAAAGCAAAAGCATCACGTTAGCGTTGTGACATGGGGACATGTTAGCATGACAGGCCTGGGAGGATGGCAGGTTTGGGACATGACGAGGGGCTGGCTGGACGTGCCCCATCCTCCAGGTCTCTGCGGTGCTGGAAGAGACCATCAGCTTGTAAACGATACAAGTAACGATACCATCTGCAGGCACCGTCTGGAGGAGCGGCCGAGAGCATGGGGATAGTTTAGCAGCACAGAGCAGAGCGGGCCACTTGGAAAACAGGTGCAGGGGAGGAGTGGCTCTGGGAGAGATGTGGGGTGCAGAGGATGCTCAGCTGGACATGAACCTCTGGTGTGACCATGCCAGCAGGGCCGGTGCGGTCCCTGGAGCCGTAAGGGGGCTCTACGAGGGCTGCCAGCAGGAGCAGGGAGGTCAGATGACCTCTGTATTTGGCAGTGCCCTGACCTCCACTGGAACAGTGCACCTGGTTTGGTGGCAATGCTACGAGGCTGGAGAGGGTTCAGAGAAGAGCCACAAAAGTGCCTGTGCTTGGAGGACAGGCCTTGCAGTGAAGGGCACGAGGGGCTGGGCTTACCCGAGGGAAAGGAGAGGAGCAGTCCCTAGCAGCTCCGCGGGTCGGACGCATGAGAACTGGGGGCTCCTTCCCCAGCAAACAAGCACGTGCCAAGAACCAGGGCTGGAAGCTGCGGCCCCAGACCAAGCCAGAGACGTGCCAGGCTTGCAGTTCCCCTGAGGACACACTCCCTGTGGCTGGGTACCGCTACCCGCGGGCTGGGCCGGAGGCAGGAAGTGGTGCAGGGAGTGTCGCACAGGAGGTCTGACGAGAGGTCACCCGCCGCCTCTGCCCCGTGTTCCTGAGCTGGAGATGCCAAGTGAGATCACCTACTTCCTACCAAACCACTTATGAGTCAGGTTCACTTCAACACGGACGTGCAGATTGTCGGACAAGTCTCTGGGAGCCTGGGGCAGGAATCCAGCCTTTTGCTATCTCTAGCTGGGATTCGGGCCTGTCGCAGGCCAGAGGAGAGACGCACGCGCTTGAATGTTTGTGAGATTGAGGCAGCAGCTGCCCTGAAATCTTCAGGTTTGTGTGCTCAGCACCCGCTGAAACCCTGCTCGTGGGTGGCCCTATTCCACACCGAGGACTCGGAGACAGTCACCCAGACACTTGACTAAGAGACTGGCATCCGCTTCTTAGTTATGCAGGGGTGGAAAAATACTTTCATGAGAAAGAGTGCCAACGGCAAATGCACCTGACCACGGGCCTTTGAAGAGGGCCATGGGAGAGCAGCTGTGCTTAGCCAGGGCCCGCGCTTCCCTGGGAAGCACTGACCACACCAACTGCACTCTAGTAAGGTGTCCGGGTGCACGCTCAGGAGGCCTGTGCTACTTATTTGATAGCAAAGGGCAAGGCGGGCCCCACCTTTCTGACAGCAAAACACCCGCATCTCCCCCTCTCAGGTCCGCACTACCGTGGGGTCAGTCTCCACGACAGAGGTCAAGCGCTGTTAGAGAAACGTGTGGCAGTACCCCCAGCCCCATGAAAGCAGAGCAACCCAACAGAAAAATGCCAAGCACCCTGCAACTTGGAGCCACTGCAGGATCTGCCGCCTCCCGCAGACACGCGTGCTTCCACGCGCAGGCGGCACAAGATGCCTGTCACGTGGCAGACGCCTGTCCTGCGGCTGGGTGCTCTGCCCTCCCTCGCATACACGGCTCTCAGCAAACAGAAAGGCAAACCCACCTGTAAAACAGCCCATCAGCCAGGGAAGCCACAGGCCCTGCTGCCTCCCTGCGGGTGCTCGAGGGCAGCGGAGCTGGGCTCTTTCAGCCTGGAAGCAGACGTGCCCCCCTCAAGAACGCCCTGCAGCGGCTCCCCCCACTGCTGCAAAAACCGCCAAGGGCCGCCCTGTTGCAGCCAACAGCAAAGCAAAGCTTCAGCTGGAGCGAGATGGGGCGCTGCGAACGAGGCGCTCCTGTCCTCCACACCATCCCCTCGATTCGCAGCCCTCCCGCTCTCTGCAGCACAGGCCTCGGGAGATGCCCAGCTCTGACTGGAGCATCGCAGGCCCAAGCCTTGTGGGGGGGCTTCCAGTGCGCCGCCGGCTGATGCCAGGCACCAATCGTGCAAAAGCTTCCCCGTTCTCCAAACCATCGCATAGCAGGGAGCTGCCACCTCCCCAGGTGCAACCAACACAAGGAACCAAGACTGGAGAGGGAAAGCAGCTTCCTAGCAGGTCTCCATGCGCATCCGCTGCTGTGGACTCCAGGCTGTTGGGATGAAGCCACGGAAAGGTGGGACTTAACAAAGCCCTGCAGAAGTTCCTGCATGCAGCTCTCCACCCTCAGGCCCAGGACACAGCTCCTGCAAACAAGGCATAATATCCAAAGGAGGGGTTTTGCCGAAAGCCAGATAAGCAGCAAATACCACCCCATGAGGTGAGAGTCCGCCTTCCCCTCTCCCTGCCCCTTGCGTGCCCAGCGCTCTCCCTAGTCGAGCGAAGAGGATGCTCACTTTTTCCAGGATACCTGAGGCTGAGGTAAAACGGGGAAGGACAGGGAGATGCCCATTAAACACTGCCTGTCTGGAGCTGTCCCAGGCACGACTGCGCTGAGAAGGAAGGACTGATGAGGACGCCTGACGGGCAGTGGAGTACGTCCTCCTCTGGGAGCAGCGGCAGCTAGCCGAAAGCCTACTTTAAACGTGACCCACAGCACACGAGGCCTCCCCGAATGGCAGCTTGACCAGGGCTTGCAGATGCAGGCTCTGCTGGTTGAGAGCCGGCGTCTCCGTGGTCTCCGCTTCCAGGCCCTTTCAGCCCGACTTCCCTGATGATCCCAGCCTTTCCTACTCCTCGGCCATTCTCCTGGCTCTTCTGAGCCTTGTACAGTTTTGCTGCTGCCTCTGGGGCAGGGCATGAGGATGGGCAGCCAGAAGATACGATGACGCTATCCCGTACTGGTCTCCAGGCTGCTCCACGCTTGCTAGCTGTCTCATGGGGGGCGGGGGGGGGCAGCTGAGTTGGGCACAGTGATGCCCAGGGCCCTCTCCGCAGGGGATACGGCAAACTCCAGAGGTACCTGAGCAGCTCAGCATCTCCATCTCTTCCAGCATTTCCACTCAGCCTTTCTCACCGGGCAGCAGTGCCCAGGACTGTGGGGCCACCAGCAGCAAAGACGACAGGATGCAATCTTGGCAGGGAAACAACATCACCCACCTCCTTCCAGGCCTGGAGGTGGCCGCAGTGGGAGACACTTAGGGGCCAGACCCGTGAAACTCTTGGCTGGGCACCTGTCACCCCAGGCAAGCAGCCTTCCAACCCCCTCGCGCCCAGGTCTCCTGGACATGATGCCCGGAGCAGCTGCCTTGTACTTTCTGGTGCCATTTGCCGGGTGTCTTGCTCCCCAGGGTGCTGATGTAGGTGACAGGCCCTGCCATCAAGACAAGCAGCGGAGCTCCCCCAGAGCTCATGGGAAGGCAGGCGTGGTCCCTCTTGGTGTGTGCATCTCTGGTGATCCACCCTGGCCTCTCCTCCCTGAGATGCACAGGCAGTGCGTGAGCTCCCCAGCGGATGGCTGCTGCCTGCTGAGCTACGGGTGAAGGCGGTCTAAGGGGTGAAGAAGCATTTCTGGCACGAGGGACACGCCTGTGCTCATGGGTCCTCATGCTGCCCCAAGGGAGAACAAATGCCTTATGCAAGGGTGCTCTTAGATGCCTTGAACTTGGCAGGAAGGCCCTAAGGAAAGCCTGCAGCAAGCAGATGGAGCAAACTGGTGAGGACCCAGTGCCAACTTTGTGCACAGCGCCTGGACCCAGGCTTGTTCACAGGGCAGCTATGCTGGAGGGGCCGGTGCACAGAAGAACCACCCGACGCTGGCTGCAAGGCTGCTGCTTAGCAGAGTGCAGCAGAAGCATGCAGCGGGCTGTGGGCACCACTCGGTGAGGTATGACGTAGCTGTTCGAGTCTCTCGGCATGAGGGAGACGCAGGAATCTGCCCAAGAGCTGCAGCAGTCCTGGGAGAAGCCATTCTCCTTGGGGAAGCAGAGGGGAGAGGAGGCTGGTGCTGGCACTGACCTGCCGCTGCGGCACCCATGGGCACATTGGTGCTTTTATGCCCCAGCCATGCTGCACGTCTTGGCCGCGGGGGGACAAGGCTTCAAAGTGCTGGCTTTAAATCACAGCAGCATCCCTCTCATCAACATATCCTGTGTCTATTTATAGGTGCTCAGCTTTCAGAATAACACAGAGTCTGTCGGTGCTCATCTGGGCTATTATATAACAGCGCATCGCCGCTCCGGCACAGATAACTGGCTGCACTCCCCTCCTGGCGAGGAGTGGGGATACCTGGGACACATGGCCCGATGTGCCTTTAATCAGCCTTTGTCTGCCAGGGATCGCAGCACTTGGAGTGGACAATCCCATCCACAAAGGGCCGTGTTCCTTCGCCTGAATCCAAAATCCTCCCCCTCTGCATTCGAGGACTGGGCTCTCAGCTCCCCACTGCTGCCCTGGCAGGCTCTCTGGCCTGAATTCATTTCTGGGCAGGTTTGGCTGCTCGTGCAGCATTTGGGGGAGAAAGCCTCGCTCCACATGTGCGCTTGTTACTGAATGGGCAATGATCTACTCCGTAGGTACAGAATCCAGCCCCAAACGGCTGATCGCTAATTCCATCCCCTTGTCTGCTTTAACTAAGACCTTTCCTCCTGCATGTATAATTTTCATTACTGCTGAAGTTATTTTTAATTTGTAATTAACGCCGTCTGCTTCCCAGGATGCATGTCTTGATGGAATGAAAGCCTCCAGACAGTCTTGGGGGCCCGGCTCCGGCTCCGGCGTGCAGTACCCGGGCAGGGCGGTAGATGTCTCTCTTTGCCTTCCTACGGCCCGCGCCCGGCCTGGCACCGTGATATAGTGCGTGATTCTGAAATGGCAGCTTTTTGAAAATTCACCTTGATTATCAGACATTAAAAGTGACTCATCCCGCAGTGACTGTCTGGCAGAAGGATGGGATCAGACAGCAGACAATGAGGGACTGGACGCATTAACACAGTATATTACAGAGCCCATCAAAAATACCTTTGTTCTGTCAAAGATCCAATCATTTCCTAGTTGTGTTCCTCTGAAGAGAAAGAATAAAAAAACCATAAGAATTTAAAGCCTCCCCCAGCCTGGCGTTCTGGGAGGGGAGGGACATGTTTTCTTAATGCCCGATCAACACGCGCAGCGAGACGGGACAATGGGGACGAGCGATGCCGCGCAGCGCTGCTCTGTTCGGAACGACTATCAAATTATGACTCCCGATGCCGCTCATTGGAAACTCATTAGCGGGAGATGCACAAGCGAAGTATTTGTGGCTGCACTCACCTCCGCCACGATCTTCTAATCGCACGCAGCATTACAGCACAGGACAAAACGGGGCTTTTCACACTTAATATTAAAAAACTCCAACAATGGAGCTTCAACCTGTAATCACCCCAGCACATTTCATCTGCCCAGGGAGAGGCAGTTTAGAAATGCCACCGCTGATAAGTATCTTATACGCAGATATAATAGCCCACAAGTACAAGCACAGAAGCCTTCGCAATCGCTGTACAGCCTGGAGCCGCGCAGCAGACACACGTGTGTGTGTACACTACAGCGGGCGTGGGTGTGTGGCTGGGTGAGACGTGCTAGGTCCCCTGCACTGCTGTGTGAGCAGCTGGCACGCTCGCCTGAGCTCCTGAGGAGACGGAAACAGCCCAACCGGGAGGTTCTGGCTCTGGTTTTATCACTGTGATCGCTGGCTGATGCAGCCAGGGAAACTGTCCAGGGCTAAGCAGAGTCTGTATCAGTCGTGGAAAATACCCCAAAGGGAGCGTGCCACAGATCAAAGGCAGCTCTGCAGCCTGCGCTCACGTGGCTTCCCCTGCCAAATACTTTCAGTAATACGATTAAAGCCCAAATTCCATAAACACCAATTTCCCATCTGTTTAATAGTCATACGGTTCTGTGTCACCGGCCACTCCTCTGCCCCACCAGTTGTGAACAGCCCATGGGAGCAACACCATGCACAAGGCGATGGGTCCCACATAGGGCAGAGGGTGGAGGGCGTGGGATGCGGGCAGCGCCGGGGCAGACACTACAGCCACAGGGGTTAGAGTTGCCCTGCCAACCAGGAGGCTGCCGCAGACAGACAATAGCCCTGGCCTGTCTTGGAGCATTTGTGAGCCCCACTTGCTCCTCAGGCCCCAACGTCAGTCCCAGAGGCGGGATGGTGCAGCCTGCAAAGCCTCCCACCCTGCCTCTTGCTCCCTGAACTACAGCGGGGAGCAGTGCTTTCCTTTTGCTCAGGAACAGGCAAAAGCAGGTGCAGGCATTGGGGTGACAGGCCGGAGACCAGCCAGCTCCTCAATAGAGATGTTGCCCTCAGATTTACGGCACGCTTCCCAGGAGGCGGCGAACATAAACATGCAGTATGCAAAATCTCTGCCTGAACCTGACGAGCAGATGAAACGGGGGAGAGGAGGGTCCCAACCGCCCACACACTGAGAGTCTGCGGCACCGGGCGAGACTCATGAAAGGGAAAACAGGAAGAGAGTTTCCGTTGGTAGAATGCTAATGAGCCCGAAAGGTTATTGCTCTGCCGTTCTAGTGATAATTTCCAATTCTCTGTGTTCACAGGAAACCGGTACCTCAGGTCTAATCACATCTGGGTACTGTCTGGAGCAGGCACTGTAGTTCGGCTGGTGTGGAATATCAACACACACGCACACCCCACCAGCAGCATGGTCAGAGTCTAGCAGGGAGAAATAACGAACGGGAAAGTCTTGCACGGCTTTGCATTCTGCAAATGAAAATGATCTCATTATCCCTGCCAGGGACCCAGCCGGTCACTTGAAAAATACGTATTAAAAACCCTCTGCAGCTCCAGGGAGCCAGTCCGCTCCACAAGGAGGGAGAGAGGCAGGGACGGATGTGCAAAAACAAACATCACGGGACCAGTGAGGATGGCACCAGTGCTGGGAACCTGCCTGGCTGCTGCTGGGACTGGATGTCCAATACTGGCAAGTCCTGAACTGAAGCAGGGAGCACAGGTGCCGGGCGCTGCCCACCCTGCCCTGGGTCCCCACCTCAACACCCCACGGAGCACAAGATGCCCTTCCTCAGGCCTGGGGGAGAAGCAGCTAGAGTCTAAGCTACCTGCCCACTAGACCAACACTGTGTACCCAACAGAAGGTGCAATCAAAGCTAACTTCTCATTTCCCTCAGCCAGCCTGGAGGGTGGTGGGAACGCCTCCCGCGTGTGCTGGAAGTGGGGTCCTTGCCTGGGCAAGGTTGGCAATCGCGGGGTGCGCTTTGATGGGTGGTACCTCTCTCAATGCTGCGCTGCATTTGCTCCTCGTGGAGACCACTTCTGCCTCTGCTCCGGCCAGCTGGGCCTTTGCTTCTTGCACCTGCAGGTCAAAATGACACAGGGCTGGTTAGGAGCTGCCCTCCATTTCTGTAGGGAATTGTGAGACCAAATCAGCAAAAGGTGGAGAGGGGGGTGGATGAAGGAGGAGGAGAGAGCAAGTGGAAAGTGGAAACCCCCAGCTATGATCCCAGCATGCTATCATGCTTGGCTCTGGTCTCAGTCACAGCCATTAGCCCGCACATGCCGCGTGTCAACTGTACGACTGACACAACGCCTTGACAGCGGACATGTCTCCCTGGCAAAGCTGCAAGCTGCCCAGGCCGGAGGAGAGCTGGACAGTGAGGGAAGATCTGGGGGGAGACAGAAGGACCAGGGCGTGATGTGCGACTGGGAACAGGGTGCAGGAGTGGGATTGTGAGGCCAGTGTGAACGGAAGGAAGTGGTAGGAGCGTGCGCGGGGAGCCCCAGGGCTGGGGAACTGGGCACAGATGGGAGCCTACAAGACGCACAAATGCACAGCTGTGCTAGTGCCATGCAAGAAGAAAGCCTTGCCTGGTGGTACCTTAGATGCTGTCAGGCACAAGCTGCCTTTCCTGGGGCCTGGAGGAGAAGCAGAGAGAGGACATGCTAAGTACCATTACAACAGTAACGGATGCGCATCCAACACAAGACGGGCTCAAACAAAGCTGCTTTGTTCCCCGGCCAACTAGGCTGCAACAACACAACAGCATTCCCAGCCCTTCATCCTCATGTAGCTGAGGCTGCCCTGGATGATGGAGTGTGGAGACTGGCTAACCTCACATCTCCCATTGCCTGGAGAAAATGAGCTTTGGTACGGCAAACTTCAACCTTAGGAAACCAGGAATATCCTGTTCCTGTAACGCAGGCTTCACCCGCCGTGGGGACTGGCTACTGCTGGAGGAATGGTTTGGAAAGGAGGCTGCAGAAGCACACAGCCCCGTGGACTCCCCTTTCCCAAACATCTTCCAGGGCACTCAGTCTCGATGGGTTCGTCAGTTGTTCGTTGCCAAGCTGGATGTTTGTTACCAGGAGTATCTCTAGCCTGTGAAACGCAGGTCAGACTGAAAGACCAATGGTCCCACCTAACTTGAGTCCATGAATCCGCAATAACAAGCCAACAGCGTGGACTAGGAGAACGCACCATTTGCTGCCTGTGCGCAGCTGCAGGTTGGGTTCACGTGCGCCAACAGCAGGCACCGGCAGGGGTGACATGTGCCTGTGCGTGGGGGCAGGTCTTTGTTGCAGTGGCACGGATGTTCCCAGAAGTCCTGGCATCACAAAGGAGTGATCACGGCCCAGGAGCTCAGGAAAGGCTTTGTAGTGTTGAGACAGCGCAGAGACAGCTGCATAGGCATGCTGAGCCCACTGTGCCCACGTGGCCTGCCAGCCTGGCACTGCTTGGCAAGTCAGGACCTGCTGCATGCTAAGGATCTGCTGAAATTCTGCTTCGAGCCAGCGAGTAACAAGGAGGCAGAGAGAGTGAATGCCACTCCTGAGATGCCGGGCAGGCCAGGGGCCCTGCTATGTGTGGACGGGCTAGGCTCCCGCAGGTAGTGCATGAAGGCAGCTGTGAAGTGTCCCAGCCAGATTCCCTGGCTCAACGTGGGCTCAATCCAAGGTCCACGTGCAAGGCGCAGCAAGGAGGGAGGTAATTCCAAGACATGCCCATGATGTCAGTTCATGGAGCGACTCCCTGCAGTAGCTCTGTTTCCCCAGCCACTAGCTGTGTGGTCACGGACACTGGGACATCTGCAGCAGAGTGGACTTCCTCTTTGATGTGCAGTGGGGAGTAGCAGAGAAGATGGTTATAACTTGCTCCAAGGGCACAAGCCTCCATCTGCAGAGGTGCTACACATCAGCTTAGGCAGTGAGAGCTGCAGATCAAGCGGCCCTTGAGTCGAGCTCTCGGGAGTCTGTGAGATGCCGGCATGCAAGGTCCGTGCTGCGCCAGCCCTGGTGCGTGGCTCCGTAGTAATCAGCGCTGTCCTTACAGCTGTCCTGCCTTGTGCAGCCTGGTCCCATGGCATCGGCTCGCCTCCTGGCCAGGTATTAAGTGCAACCAGTGCTGCTAACCGCACAGCGTGGGCTCCCAGATTGCTCCTGCACACTGGGAGGCGTGGGATACAACACGGCTGGCACCGGCCAATCTGGCTGTGCAATCCCTGCAATACAGAACAAGGCCTTGCTCAGGTGTCTACAGGCCTGGGCCTGGCCCCAGGAGCTTGGTCTCCATTTCCCTGTATCAAGCGGCTCTTCTAGGTTTGTGGTTTCAGGGAATCCGCAAAGCTCCCTCTGCTGCCCCGAGGCTTGTGCTGCTCGCCCCCACAATGCTGCTGACCTTTCCGGTTACGTACTCAGGGCGGAAACCAACACTAGCTTGCCCACTGCCTGCTCAGGATGCTGGGCACCCGGTGCGCGTGCCAGATCCGTCACATGCTCAACCTCGCAGCCCTCACAGCCGTGTCGGCCTGGTCTGCCCACCGCTGAGTTGCCCTCTGGACTGTAACACGCCAGCCTCGCTCTGCTCTGCCCAGGAGGTGAGCTTTACAGACATCCTACACCTGCCTGGACTGGCCTCCCTGCTTGCTGAAGCTCTGCTACACCCGCGCTTCTCCAGCCGACAGCCCAGGACTCCAATCCCCCAGCCATGGCACTGCATACCAGTGCTCAGAGACACGTATGAGCCGCTGGCACAGCTCCTTGCACTCAGTCCTGCCAGGCAGCATGTCCATGGTGCTGCGCCCTCAGCATCCTTGGCCCTCTCTGCAAGAGCCCTCAGCGATGCCAGGCAGCCTGCCACGCACAGCCCCTGCACCAGTCCAATCAGGTGCAAACCCCCATCCTTTTATCCACACAAGAGTTTGCACGGACCTTCCCTTCTCTTTCTGCGCCCAGCCCAGTCCCTCAGGATGTCACGATGAACACCCATCTTGTCTACCCGGTCCCTTGGCTGCCCTGTTCGGGGTCACGCAACTGCTTGTGTAAACACAGTGGGCAACTGCACATCGCACTCGTTCAGATCAGAAGCATAAAGGAGGGGCAGCTCCTTCCGAACTACTGTGCTGCAACCGCAGAGGCATCTCTAGACCTGCATGGAAACACCCGTTTCTGGAGCCTGTTAGCATGGAGCCAAAATTATAGGCTACAGCTCTCCCCATTCCTTTCCTTCCCTCTGAATTAAAGACCATCCATGGAAGACTCTCACTTCAAAACCCAGCCAGGCAACTTCTAATATCATGCAAAGAATAAATTGCTAATATCATGCCTGAAGAATAAATTGCTCCTATCAGAAATAAAGCATTTTAGTTTTGCCACAAGCAAGAAGATCTGTGTTTATACATCGCTCCAAAGGCAGCTCCATCTTTACTCTCCTTCTCTTTTGATGCACAAGCCTGCATACCGCAGTGCTGTGATTGGACTTGGCTCTGGAGCCATGCAAGTGTAAATATTCATTGGAATCCAAGATCGTTCCCCCAGCCTCTCCTCAAGGCTCTGCGGCTGTGCAAACAGCCGTGGCTCCACGACCACCGCAGCCTGGAGGATGCCTGTTCCTCTGCAGCCCGCGGACTCCTCCTTTACAGAGGCAGATGTCGGGAGCCAGCCCTGCAGGCCATTTCAGCCAGCAGCAACGTTGTTTGTTCCCTCGGCAATCATCCGTGTTTCGCAGTACGAGTGACAGGTCCCCGACTATAGCTACCCCGCGCCACAACCACGCTTCACACACAGCCGCCAGCGACTCCTGCAGACACACACAGACTGCCTGGCCCAAGCTTTGAAGCCACATCCCCGGGCAAACTCACCCCATCCCTCAAGACATGGTACGTCTGCATGCTCTCCACCCTGCCCTCCCATTCAGCGTGCCCACAAGTACAAGCCCTTATGGACATCACATGTGCCCTTCTGCCCACTGGCCCCAGAGTGCACAGCATGCGTGCGTTCATGTGCATCTCCCACTGACCCACCCAGAGCTCAGGCATGCACGCGCGCACACTGCACCTCCCAGGCACAAGCAGCTCGGTGCAGTCGCAATGTGCTCACCTCTGCCCTGCAAGGTGCTAAAATGACCCCAGCACGGCAGAAAGGTGAGAGCTGACAGGATGCGGTGCGCAGACTCCTCCATTACCTGCTGCTCTGAGTCCGTACTAAAAGCAGGCAGCTCTGTCTGAGCAGCCCTTAGAAGAACCGCAGACGTGCCCAAAAGGCTGCCTGGGGCTGGCAGGGGCCAGTCTCCCACAGCTGGTGCTGCTGCAGCCAAGAGGCACAGGTGATAGGCCATCCGGCCCATGGGACACCCAGCTCAGCCCTACCTTGGCCCTGCCTGTCTGTGGCCATGTGCCGGGCAGATGGCAGCTCTTTCTGCTGCTTCCCTGGGTGGTCTCTCACCAAAGGCTTGGAGCGAAAAGGGCGACTGGGCGTGCGTGCAGGAGTCAGCACGCAGCTCCTTGGCTGGGAACTGAACCAGGAGTCCTGACAGCAGATCTGCACTTGCATCTTGGCCTGGGCTCGCCTTATCTCTGTGGCCAGGGGCAGAGCCACACGGCTTGCTCCGGAGCCCCAGGCACAAGCAGCACATGTTGCACAGATGTGCCGCCTCCCCACGCCAGCCCACCGAGGCTGCTCGCGTGTTTATGCTGCTGTCAGTAGCATCTCTGCTCCTTGCTGGGTTTCAGCACATCCTGAGGCCGATGCCCAGACTCTCGTGTGCCTTATTATTAGAGAGCTGGGAGCACCAGAAGCCACCGCCACGCCACACCACGCCGTGCCACGCACAGCTCCCCATGGCCAGGAAGGTGGAGGAAGAGTGCTGTAAGAAGTCCACTAAGGACCCTGGGGAAAGCAGCACTGTGGTACTACGGTGTGGAGACGAGGATGTCACAGCCAGCCCAGGGGCCAATGGTGGTGTGTCAGAAAGCCAGTAACAGCAGAGTCGGGACAGGCACTGGAAACAAAACAGTGTCCCCATGCTGGGCCCAGGAGAGCAACCCCTCAGGTTTGGGCACATGTTCCCTCCTGGGGAGACCCAGCCCTGCAGTCCAGGCCTCCCAGGTGCAGGCCCCTCTTCTGCAGCGCTACCGCTGTGCAGGTCTGCTGCTCAGAGAGAAGCATTCACACGTTCCTGCGCTGGCTGGTGCATCTCCCGGGCCCTGACCAACGTGAGCAGCACTTCAAGCCACAGGGCCAAGCAAGGAGCGATTCTACTGCTCCAGAACACCGGGCCTCCTGCCAACTGACCACAGCCATGTCTGCTTTACAGCCCTGTGTCAGAGGCTCAAATTCATTTGGCTGCAGGCTACGATGTGTGGGGCAATCCACCTGCTACCTTCGCGGGGCTGACTTGCAGCCATATGGGCCTAGCATGACCCAAGCATGTGGTGTAGCAGGGAAATCATCCTCCACAGACCCAGACAAGTCAAGGAAAAGGAGAAAGGCAGTGAGCAGGGTTCAGAGGAGGCCACTCGCATGATCGGGGGGCAGCAGGGCAGGCCCCACGAGTGGAGGCTACGGGACCTGAACCTGTTCAGCCTCCACAGGAGAAGGCTGAGGGGAGATCTGGTGGCCATCTACAAACTGGCCAAGGGGCACCAGCAGGCACTGGGGGAGTCCCTGTTCCCCCGAGCACTACTGGGAGTAACGAGGAATAATGGCCATAAGTTGATTGAGAGCAGGTTCAGGCTAGACATCAGGAGGCGCTACTTCACAGTCAGGGCGGCTAGGATCTGGAACCAACTTCCAAGAGAAGTGGTGCTGGCTCCTACCCTGGGGGGCTTCAAAAGGAGGCTGGATAATCACCTGGCCGGGGTCGTTTGACCCCAGCCCTCTTTCCTGCCATGGCAGGGGGTTGGATTTGATGATCTGCTCAGGTCCCTTCCGACCCTACCTACTATGAAACTATGAGCAGTGGCAGGCTGCTATGGTCTTTCAAGAGCATTCATGAGGCCAGTGAGATACTTGGGTGCCAGCAGTGGGAAAGCAGGAACTTGCTGCCCCTGCCTGTAAGTTTGCAAGGCATTGCAAGGGACCAGACAGGCCCAGCCTTGTGGGGAGAGGCCCTTCAGGAAGCAAAGGCATGGGGCTGCTTCCTGCATGGAAAGAAGCAGCAACTGAAGTGCAGCCGGTCCTGGGGTGCAGGCTGGAAGTCAGGAGCTCTGGGCATCAATGCGGGCTCGGCGTCTCATATGAGCCCCTGGACCTCGCCTTCTGGAGTTGAAATGGGGGTCAAGTTCCTCTCCTTCCCCTACTGACACGGACACAGGCACAGAGCACAAGGACTGGGGAGCGATGCAGTGGCAGTGACACGAGGACTGCCGGAGGAGGAAAACCCCTGACTGTGCCCGACTGGAACCTGCTAAGCCCGGCTGCCCATGGCAGTCCCCTTGGTGCGTCACTGGGCCAGGGCAGGCACACAGGCAAAGCTGTGAGGGGGAAGCCAGACCTCTCCCTCTGGATCAGTGAGTTTGTGGGTCACGGGCACCAGAAAGGATGAGCGGGCCCACCCCCTTGTGAGCAAGAAGAGCCATCTGGCTGACGCTGCAGAGTGTGCATGTGGCCCCACTGGGGGAGTGCTGCGAGACTGGTGCTTGCCAGGTGGGCCCGCAAGCTCGGGAGGGTGCTGCATGCTTCTTACCAGCCGGCTGGCATCCTGCAGCTCTGTCTGCAGCCTGTGCATTGCGGCCTCTTTCTTCCGCAGCTCGTCCTGCAGCCCGGCCGCTCTTTGCCGCAGCAACGCCTGCTCTGCCGCCTGCTCCTCCCGCTCGCACACTGCTGCCTCATGGGAGAGGCACTCCCTGGCACGCTCACTGCTCTTCAGGCTGGCCACCCAATCCTCCACCTGGCGGGAAACACACGGCTCACTGCAGGGAACCGCAACTCACCCAGCCCAGCCACCCCTGCCTATGGGACGCTGTCCACAATGCAGTGCTGCATGCTGTGCATGCGGTGGCAGTGGCTACACCAAGGTCTGTGGCACCCCCCGTCCGACTGCGCAGCCTCCATGGCTGAGAGTGCAGCAAAGCAAAGCAGAGACAGCCTGTGGACACCAAAGCCCCAACTAACCACTCTCACCACTGTGGCATGGGCAGTGGGCACCGTGGGGGGGGACAGGTCGTGTGTTATTTCCCTTCCAATGCAAACTGCAGCCTATCATGGAGCAATTGCCTGAGGCACAGGAAGGGACATGGGAGTCATAAGGCGGTCAGCATACCTGGGCTCCTGGACCCTGGGGAACTGTACCGGCCACTCCAGTGCCTGGCTGCCACGGGCTCCGGGGCACGACGGATGGCTAGGGCTGCAGCCTGATGGGAGCCACACCCAGGCACAGCTCCTGGGAGCAGAAGTCCCCCCACTCCCTCTCCATCGGGAGCTGGAAACTCAGTCCTCTCTGGGTAGCACCCATGTGGAACGGCCATCCATTTCCCCTGCCTGGAGGGAGAGTCCCTGGAAGCCCCAGCTCCGGTGATTTATCCGGGTCACAGCGAGGACAGGCGGCTAACTGAGGTTAACAGCTTTCTCAGCTCCATTTCAGAGAGACATTAGCATGGGGGCCACATTCACACAGATGTGCCATGCAGCGAGCTGCTGGCTGGGAGAGCTCGCCATCAGGCAGGAGGGACCCATCTGACAGGCAGGGCTGAGCAGCCGGCCCTCCCGTAAAGGGCAGGCCCATAACTCATGCTCCTGGTGCTAAATTATGCTGACAGGGCTCCACAGCAGATGCCCTGCGGCAGCCTCCAGGGACTGCTGGTCCCCAGAGCTTATGAATGCTACAGACATGGAGGTGCTGCCCCTCCAGGCTCCCTCACTGTCTCCCTTTTCTCTCCAAGTCTCCTACCCTTCAAATTCCCATTCTCTGCTCGTCATTCCCTGCCTCTCAGCAAGAAAACCACCGAAAAAAACAAAAAGCATCACAAGTCATGATGAAATCTCATGATCTGACAGAGTAGTAGTAGTAACACTGAAAGGGGGCCTGGTACGACAGAGAAGAGGATGCATCTGGGATTCAGAATGACCTTAATAAACAGGCAGAATGGTCCTGGGTTAAATGAATGAGATCTGGTGAGGACAAGTGCAAAGTCCTGCATGCTTTGGATGGAACGATCACGGCACAAGTACAAAGCGGGGAACAACTGGAGAGGCTGACGAACTGCACGCGAAGTCCCTGGGGTCACAGCCGACCATAGACTCAGCAGGACTCAAGAGACTGCTCTTGTTGCAAAAAAGCAATAGTATAGTGGGCTGCATCAACTGAGCATCACCTGAAAGCCAAGGAAAACAATTCTTCTGCTCTATTCAGCACTGAGGCCTCCCCTGGAAAACTGTGTTGTGTTTTGGGCTCTGCACTTCAAGAACTGTGGAAAGATTAGAAAGACTTCAGCAGAAAGTGACAAAAATCAGAGGCCTAGAAAACATGACCTACAGGAAAAGCCTGGAAGAGCTGGGGATGCTGAGACGTGGGAGAAGGCTCAGAAGAACCTCAAGACGGACGGTAAACCTGTGATAGAGCGAGGCCCCAGGAGCTCGATTTATGTAGCTTAGGGTCAAGGCAGGACTGGCTGACAGTGCATGAAACCCTACGCGGGGACAGACACTCAGGAGCAGAGGACTCACCTGCCTGGCAGATAAAAGATCTACAAGGACCTGACCAGGGGCGGCAGAAATGAGACAAATGCAGTAAAGAAAAGGCGCACATGTGAACTGCAAGGGGAATTCACCATGCAGATCACATACGCAGGCCTGTGCTGGTGCTGCGCTGGGAAACATTTGAATCCAGACAGGATGCTCTTCTAGAAGACCAGTTCCAGCTCAGTCAGGACTCAGTCCAGGGCAGTCCTACGGCTGGCATTCTGTGGGAGGTCTGATGAGAGGATCTCTGCTTTTATCACCCCTGAATCCACGTACCAGTGATGGCCTGTCCTGTGGCTGGCCTCAGGCTGAAGCTAAGCCTCAACGCTACAATTGTTCTTTTCTCCTTTAGGTAGACTGGCACCACATCTGCTTTCTCAATGCCTGGGTGCCCATCCAGACTTTCTGAGCGCAGCTGCCAGGAGCTGGCGAGCTGTCAGCTGGGCCCCTGATGGGGCAGGCAAAGCTCCCCTGCCCAGCCTCTCACCTGCTTTCCCATGGTATCTGCTGCATTCCCATACCTTGTCCTAGCGCTCAAGATGCCTCACCTCCAGCAGCTGCTCTCGCTGGTGGGCTCTGAGGGCCTCATTCTCTCCTTCCACCTGAGCCAGGCGTACATTACACTCCGCAAGCTGAGGAAAAAGGCAAACATGACGTGAGCCAATATGACAGGTGTTCAGCTCTGCCCGAGGACTCTGAACAACACAGCACGTGTGCAAGCCTGCAGCCAGGGCGCCTCTCCTGTGTCCTGAGGGGCCTGGACCCCAAAGGCTGGGCCTTGTCTCAGGAAGGGGTGTTGCTGCCTGGTCAGTGGGTGCAAAGGCCTGCATTCACCAGCAGACAGGAGCCAGGAGCCCTGCCTGCCTCTGCTCTGATGCCCCAGTGAAGGGGACGTCAGGGCTGGGGTCACACCAGTGCTAGCTGCAGGCATCCTTCACATGTCGGCGGCAGATGCACGAGGAAGCCAGTCAAGGCATTGCGCAGCCACAGGGGGACGTGGCCCTGGCTGGAAAGAGCCGAGGAGCAGGAGCCTTGGGGTATGTGGACGGGACAGTGGGGAGTTCCTGGGTCCAGCGCTGTCAGGCAGGAGCTCCCAGACACGGGGCCAGCGTGGTCTGGCTGGGATCGCCAGAAGGCCTGGGCTGCCGGTCACCTTTCAGCCACAGGATGTTCCACCTCCAGCTGCTCGCTCCTCTGTCCTGGTCAATTATGCAAATGGCAAAATTCAATATCCTGCCTGCCAGTTGGGAGCCTGATAATACCAGGTTCTGGGAACCGGCCCGTCGGTTGGAACCGCCGGCTGCAGGCTTCACCTGCACACAAAGGAGCCAGACTGGGCTCGCCCGCAACATGCGGGAGCCCCAAGGAGAAAGGACAAGACAGTGCAGTGACCAGGCACAACACAGATGCACGATTAGCAGCACCCTTACACAGAGACACCAGCAAGACACACTAGGCAAGGGAACATGTGCGCTCAGACTTGCCTCCCTTCACATGGAAGCAGACATAGACAAATGCGCACAAGACCCACAACAACGGCCACCTTGTGAGCAGCTTGACTACATGCAGCTCTGCCCACATCCACAGCACACACAGACACACACACACACAAAACAGTGAATGACTCAAAAGCAAGAGGACCAACATGCAGCGAGACTCCTCCAAGGCAACCGCAGCACTGCAGCACCAACCAGCTGTGCAAAACCCAAACCAAACCCATCCTGCGGCCGTGTGAAAACAAAATGCATTCCCACTCTGCCATGCTGCCCTTGCCCTGGACCACCTCTGCCTGGCGGAGCGTTCTCCCTGGCCGGTGTGCTGGGACCTTGGGGTCTGTTTCCAGTGGTGTTTCAACCTCTGATATCCTAAGAATATTTCATGACCCGTTTGCTTAGGCTGGTGGGCATTGCCGAGTGAGGCAGGGCACAGGGTTATATATGCAGGTGCAAAAGCAGCACTGGCAGGGATTAGTGGCACCAGTAGCTGCTGTGCCAAAGAGCCTGCTTGCTGTATGGATCCAAACAAAAGCCATGGTCCAAATCCCATCGCAACTCCCGATGCCGGCAGGGACAGCACGCAGGGAGCCTGGCTGGCTGGGCACTGGGGAGGCAGGGCTTCCCGCCCAGCCAGGCGCGCACCATCTAAGCAATCGGGCGGCTCCAGGTGGACTCTGAAACTGATGCCTGAAAACAGAGGATCTGCAGCAGGGCAGAGGCTAGAGCCACACATGAAGGAGGAGAGGCAAATCCCGGACACTGACACGGACTGTCACAGGGAGGCCCCTGGTCAAGGCTGCAGTCGGCCAGTTCAGTCCTGGTCTCCCCGGGGAGCACAGATCGATACATCTGAATGAGCCTCATCTCCTGGCAAACACTTAGCACTGTTATCACCAATTAAGACGGCTCTGCCCCAGGATGACGCAGTCCTGCCCCATCCTCCACAGGGCTGCCCTGGTGCTCTCCCTGGGAGGGGCTCAGCAGCAGGGTGCAGGGATCAATACCCAGGACATCTGCTCGATCACAGCGGCTACACCCGGGACCAGCAGCTAGCGAGACAGCACACATCTGAAGCCAGCAGCGCCATGGAGCTTCCCCTCGTTTTCCGGTGCCTCACCTTCCTCGCTGGGAGCTGCCAGGCTCCACTGCCAGGTCCTGAGCCCTTCCTCATGCTACATGCTTTAAATGAATGTAGGTCCAGGCTCCTAATGCATTAAATGAAGTCCCAGCCAGGCCCACAATGCTGGCACTGGAGCTGCAGCAAAGCAGAGCCTTCCCTTACCTGCCTCTGAGACTCATCCTGTAGCTGACGGCTGGCCTCCACATCTTGTTCGAGCTGCTGGATCTCGCTGTGCTTCTGCTCCAGTTCTGCCTGCCTCTCCCTCTGCTTGGTCTGCAGTTGATAGATCCTCTGCTCTTGAGCATCCAGCTATTGACCCGCCCAGGGAAAGAAAGAAAAAATGGAAAAAAAAATCAATTAATACTAAACGGCTTAACAAAACCCCGAATAGCACAGGCCCGATGCTGCTGGGGGTGGGGATTGTCGGGAGGAGAAACACCCCCGCCCACTGCTAAAACCTGATGTTCTGGGGACAGGAAGCCAATATGGTAGGTGTGATCTGACAGGCACGCCAGCAGCAGCACTGACACGTCCCAGGCAGGGAGGCTGCAGACGTGCCGTCTGGGGCACCTGGCCTCAGCGCTCTGTCTCGGGGAGGCGTTGCAGAGCGCGGGCAGGGCAGTACACACCAGGTTCTTTCGGTTAAGCACCACACAGCAGCAGGCTCCCTCCTGGCACAGGCTTGTGCTGCAGCACCAGGCTACTCTGCCCTGCGCGGGCTGCCCTCCCAGCACTCTCCGCTGGCACCACCTGCCTGGAGAGGACAGAGATGGGAGCCACGTACCTCGGCTGCGAGGCCATCCCCTTTGTCCTGCTGGAGCAAGAGCTGGCTCTGGAGGCTCCGGATTTTTGCATCTCGGCGTTCCAGCTGGAAAGAGTTTACATGGGGAGGGAGCAAGCAAGGATGGTGAATGTCAACCACTGAGCAATTAGCATGACAAGACTAAAGTATTGATCTGCCAAAGCTATCTGTGCTGCTGCAGCCCCAAAGGGGGAGCAGGTCCCCGGCACTAACCCGGTGTCTCAGCTACCATTGCCTTGCTGTGGCCAGGCAAGTCCGTGCAGAGGGCCGCAGCACCAGTGGCTCGGTCCATGAGGGCCAGGAGAGACAGGAGACTGGGACAGGGAGGCAGCAGATGTTGCTGGCCACACCTGCTGTTGTGCATTAGCCTGGGCCCTTGAAAACCCTCTGTGATGACTGGCCGGCCCCAGCTGGGCTTGAAGCAACACCCACAGGTGACACTGAAACCCCAGCACAGCAAGCCTCCCAGCACAAGGGCACCTCACAGGAGAGGCAGACACTGGGAATCTGACCCACACCAGGACTCTGGTCTTTATACTGAGGACAAGACAGCCCTGATCAGGGCCCCATGCATAAGGCAGCAGTGGGAAGGGGAGCAGGAGGAAGCAGAGTTGCCTCCAAGACTCAGAGGCTCCCTCAGGCCAGGGCAGCAGGCACCGCTTGTGTCCAGAGTAGGGGCTTCCCCTTGGCTGGGACTGCCATGGGCCTCAGTGCTGCACCCTGTGCCCTTAGCACCGTGCCCGGCTGTGGCTCACGCCAGCTCCACACCCCGAGGTGCAGCACTGGCAGCAAGGCACGCCTGCACGGGGGCTCATTTCTAGGCCATGTGGCTGTGATGGGGCACATGGCTCAGGTGGGGCTGCGAAGGGCCTTTACCTCTGCCTTGAGGAGCTCGCTGGCCTGGGAGCAGGAGAGCTGGCTCTCAGGACAACACGGTGCCAAGGCGCTGCTCACCTAGAAGAGGACCACCGTGGGCGTTAGCAAGGTGCTAGCCCCCCCACTCACACCAACCTCGGCCCAGGCACCTCCTGTGCTCCAGGACTCTGCTCCCCGCCCCCAGCGCACGCCAGCACAGCCGCCAAGGCTGGCACCCATCATGGCCCCTGCAGCTGCTGCTGTGCTGATGAGCCCCAAGTCACCTCCATGTGCCCAGTGCCCATTCAGGAAGCTGTGCGGCTTTTAGATAGGCATCTAGCTGGGGTCATCTAGGCCCAGGACTCTTTCCTGCCTATGCAGGGGGTTGGACTCGATGATCTATTGAGGTCCCTTCCGACCCTAACATCTATGAATCTATGAATCCTCGGCAGGGGCTGGCTTCCATCATCTCCCTGCAGCTGATGTGTCGCTAACATTAGGACTCGCTGACACCGTGCATCATGGAAGCCACAGTACTGCTGCTAGCACAGTTGTGGGCCATGCCAAGGATATGCTTGCTACAACTGGCCTGGGTAGAAGGATGTTGAGGCAGAGGGGGATCCTGAGGAGGGCCTGGTGCTGCTACCTGCCTGAGGGCCTCACAGGCCAGGAAGGGCCCACCGTGCTGGTGCTGTGCAGACTCATGGTGACGAGTGTGTACCTCCTCCACTTGGCCCCTCAGCCCCAGTCTGCCTGGAGAGCCCACGAGGAGCAGGCTCCACCTGCCGGACACTTGCACTGCCCCTCTCCAGGTAGCATCATCCTCTGGGCTCCAGGGGTTCTTGTCTCACACTCCTGTGCCAGGGGCAGGCTGGTCTTATAAGCAGACCAGCCTGGCTGCTCACCTTTCCCCTGTCCTCCACCAGGCTCAGCACCCCCCGAGCCAGCAGGAGAGCTTGGCTGAAGCCGGCTGCACCCCACGACCGGCACCTGGCCAGCTGGCCAGCACACGGGAGCCAAGGCGTGTGCAGTTACTGCTCTGCTACCAGCTGATGGAATCCAGTGAGAATACTAATATTAATTAAAAGCTAATTGATTAGTAAAACATATTTACTGAAGACTGTCACCCAGCTGTCAACATCCAATAAATACATTAATAATTAATTTGTATATAATTAACATAAATTCCTAACATCTAAATTAAATCTGTGTTGGAGACTGTGTTGCGATCACAACATGTGGCTCCTTCCAAGCCCTGTCACATGTGTGCAGCCCATGTTGGCTGTGGAGGGAACTGCTTTAGGCTGAGGGAGCAGCCTGTGCACAACTTGGGTCATGCCCACGTCCAGAGCCAGCCTGCAGCACGGGCACATGGGCAGCCCAATGGCGACCCAGGCACCCTCGTGCCAAGTGCCAGTGATGGAAATGGCCTCTGCAAGTGCTTTGAGCACCCACCGACTTGAGAGACGCAATGATGCTGTTATTGGCTGGGAGCCCTGGGACTGGCAGGGCCTGGAGATGCAAGGGCTGCCTCTTCTGTCCGACCGAGGTCAGCACGTTCAAGGTAACTGCTGGGAACATCCTGGAAACCGCTTGTCTGGGAGGTTGGGATTTCCAGTCTTCCCTGCCCCAGAGACCAACCCCATTATTAGAAGGTTTCATGGGCGATTCCCTGCCCATACGCAGGAGGGAAGCAGCAGCTCAACCCTGGGGCTGGCTGCCCCGCTCCAGCAGGGGCCCTGAGCAGCCGAGCTCCGGGGCGCTGGCACAGCTGACACGCAACTGGCCTGTGGGACTCGCCACTCCACCGTGTCCTCAGCTCCGCAGCCGCCTGGGTGCATGACAGAACAGCCGTGGCACCCTGTCATGGAACCATGCAGGATGCAGCGTGGCACGGTGCTCTGGGGACAAGGGTGCAAAGCACCTTCCCATTCAGCACATGCCACCCCGACATCTGCCCTTGGGGGAGGTCCCGGGCATAGGTGGGCACAAGTCACCGCATCCCAGGCCCTTGCCCTCTCAGCTGATTGGGCTGTGTCCAAGTGCGTCTCCAGGCTGGGTCAGGGGCACGACTGCAGCCTGAACAGGAGGGAGGCAACTGCCCCTCAGGGTGGGCAGGGTGCAACTAGGGGACCAGCGCAGGAGGGGAGACCTGGCAAACCAGAGGGGACCCCCAGCGAGGAGCAGCCCAGGACCTGGCCTGAACCTTGCCTAGTTAGACGGGCTGCCAGAGGCTGGGGCCAGCTCAGCGTTGTCCTGCCAGAGGACAGAAGGGCTGGGGGAGATGCCGCACACCTGCTTGGTACTTGCAACAACAGAGCAGCAACCTCTCCCCTGAAAACAGGGGAATGAGCCATCACAGCAGCTGTTTGTGCCCAAAGGAACAGACACAGGGAGCCACAGGGCAGGGCTGCAGCACCTCTGAGGCTCATGGCATAGTCAGACAAAGGACTCTGTCCTGCTAAGGGCAGCCCTGCGATCAGAAAGCTCCTCACCCTCCTGCCAGCTGGGACCACTGCTCCCCTTCCCCATGCAGATGCAGATGCAGGCAGCCATTTGCTTGCGGCTGGAAAGAGGGTGACACATTTCGGGCGAGTGTCCCCCCACCCCTCCTCTCATTTAAGTGGAATCAATTGTGCCATTTCTGCTTTGCTTTTCAAAAGCAATTACTTTCACGTCATCTCTACAGGCATTTGCAGGGAGCAAGCGAGGCTTGATTATCCATCCCCCACCCTGTCCCGTGGCTTCAGCAGCAGTGGCGAGGTATTAAATTAAATGAGGTGTCTATAGAGCAGCGATGGTTTGGGTCAGAGACGCTCTGGAACGCTGTGCGCTGCTCTGCGCCCGCGTATGTAAATGGATGTATTAAAACCACTGATGTCAACCTGCAACACTCGTCTCCTCTGCTCTCGGGTGATCAAAGCTGATTGCCGAGGCAATTACTGCAAAGGAAAAGAGAATCAGGGCCTCCTGCTCATCCCTCAGCAGCCGGAGTTTAATTGCTTGGTGTAGCTGAAGCAGCGGCTCCTGCTTCCCTGTGCATGGGTGCACCCGGGCACACTCGCACACACAGTGGATGATTTTGGGAAGGGGCAGTGAGAAGGGCCCTGAACAGGGGAAGACCCCAACATGGACAGTACCAGCGCATTACAGTGACTCAAACTGCTGCCGTAGGCCAGTGCTAGACAGTGCTGTGGCACCTGGGCTGCCCCTAGATCCCTGTCGTGGGTGCTAGGTGTGCAAACATGATTCACAAAGATAAACCCACAGGTTTCGGACAGGAATCGAGCGCCGAAAGCCTTCTGACCTGCTGCGGCCCAAGTTCTCCATGACACAAGACTTGCTCTGTTGTTGTTTTTAGTCAGCAGTAGAGTGAAAGCTCTGAGCTGGCATTTTCTGAGGGGGCCGTTAGGCTGAAGACGGGGAGAACTGCTAGCCAAGACTGATGGTGCTGGGGACAGCTCCGGGCCACGGCCTGGCTGCCCCTCTCAGTGCCTCGCCCTCTCCCAAACGGGAGCAGTGAAATCCCTGTCACTGCGGCCAGACTCAGAGCAACGTGTCCTCCTGCTCCGTATCCCGCAGGTGCTGCACGGGCTTCACACCCATCTCTGCGCAGCGGCAGTCCTCCGTCCCCCTGCGCTCCCTTCCCCTGTGGTTTAAGCAGCAGGAAGGGCTGGGGACAAGGCTCTGCTCCCCAGGGGATGCCCCACACACAAGGCAAACCCAGCCCTTTTTTATCACCTTCTTCTGGTCTCTACATGCACGCCCTGCCTTCAGGGGCTCACACTGCATCCCCCAAGCAAGCAAGCGAGCTGAGCTGAGCTGAGCTGAGCTGCCATGTGGACAGGCCCTGCTCCATCTGGCGAAAGTAGAAGACGTACCTTGGGTACAGATACGGGGCAAAGCATGCAGCCCCCAGAGCTGCGGGAGCAAGGGCAGCCTAGGGACTGTGCACAGTATCCTGCCAATGCCTCTGGAAATCACAAGCCAAGCCCCAAAGATGCCGAGCGTGACAGGATGAAACACACTGGAGCCCCTCCATTTCCCTCCTGGGTTCTGAGCCTTTCCAGGCACCTTTTCAAGCTTTTCTCCACGGCCTGGCAAGCTAAAGCCGACTGGCGGCACGTGAAGGCTGGCAGTGATGCAGCTGCGGGACATGCAGCATGTATCGCGAGAGCCCACCCTCCCTGCAGCACGGGGTGGGCCTTGCTAGTGGCTTGCCCTGGCTCTGCGTGGATCCGAATTTCAGCCCAAGGGTGTGATGTGTTGTACAAGCTGCCTGCCTCTCCGTGGCTCGCTGGGAGCGCTCAGAGCCCCTCCCCCAGCCGCACGCTGCTGTGCTGGTTTCATTCAATTCAACACTTGAGGGAACTGCAGATGAAATGTCTCTGAATCTAAATTGCCAGCGATAGATCTCACAGCCTATTCTGCTCTCCCCCCGCCGGCTCCCCTCAGACAGGACTCTCGCGCCCGCTGCCTCTGGCTCTGGCTCTGGCTCTGGCTCTGCCTCGCTCGGGGTCTGTGGCACAAAGGAAACAACAGAACAAGCAGCCCCGTGGTTTGCTCCCGCTGCCCCACCTGCCCAGGTAGCGTGGAGGGGCCCGAGCGAGCGCGTGGGGTGTCCACATGGGGTAGGCACCGGCCTGGGGAGGTGGCAGTAGGAGGCTGCAGACCCTGGCGAAGGAGAGGAGGGCCCTGGCTGCACACAGCTGCATACAGCAAGCCCCCCTCGCTGGGCAGGGCATGAACAAGGCTGAGCACAGCCTGCCCTCCACTGCCTCCCAGCTCACTGGGGAGCTGACGGACTCCGAGTCCCACCCCGTGTACCAGCTGGGGGTAGGGGACGTGCCACGCTGGCCACTGGGCCCTTTGAACTCCACCTGCCTCATCCCAGTTCTCCCCTCTGCCCACATCTTCTTGCCCCCATCAGATCCTCCCTTGGGGAGGCCTCGGGATGTGCCTGTGGTCCAAAGCACGTGGCAGTTTCCGAGAGTGGAAGGGGGGCTGTGAACCAGCGCTCTCCCAACACCATTCCCGAGAGTACGACAGGGGCTGCGGGCTGCAGGGGCAAGCAGCACAGTGCGACTGCCCCCTCCATCCCTCTGCCCGCCTGCCCCAGGCCCTGTGCATGGCCTTGGCAGTGGGGAGACAGAGGCAAGGACCTTCGAATGGCAGCTCGTTCTGTTGGAGCAGTCTCTGCTGGACCTTTGATTAAACCTCCTAATTTCTACCCAAGCCTCTCTCTTTCCGCAGGGCAAGTTCTTGACCTGCGTGCACCGAAAAGTGGTCAAAGGGAGAATAACAAGGGGAGGGGAGGGGAAGGGCAGCAGCTGGAGACAGACGCACATGAGCTAGCAGGCGGGAGAGCTGCTGTGCAGATCCCTGCAGCAGCCGCCCTGCCACTCGCCTGCCCCCAAGCCCAGCCTCGTCACAGGGCCTGGGCTGCGCAGGCCTGCTCGTTGCCCGTCTCCAGGCCGCTCAGGCCTTTTAGACGGCAGCCGTGGCTCAGCTCCTCAGCACCAGAGTGGGGATCAGGCTGGCCAAGCGAGTGCCTGTGGCCTTGTGCAAGCCTGACACCTGTGCTGTGACATCAGCTCACCTGTGCGGGTCGTGCCGGCACGGTCACAGTGACCTCTGGCACCAGGAGTGGGCACTGCAGAGGGCCCAAGGGCCCCAGAGGGGCAGGACGATGGGGAGCCATGCTTGGGTGCCCACATGGTGCCATGCAGGGACACTGGACCCATGGTCAGGACAGCATCTTCCCGTGTCCCTCAAATACACAAATGCAGCAAGCAAGCTGGACTCCTCACCTGGCCCTATGATTTCACTCACATCAATGGGCTTTTCCCTGACCTACACCACACACCGGGCAGACTGCACGCAATGGGTCACGAGAAGGTTAATGCCACCCCAAGGAGCAGAAATCCCCTCCCCAGCAGGGAGATGCCAAGATCTGAGGATAGGGCCTGAACCCTCTGGCCTCACGGGCAGTGACCAGCCCCCCAGGCTGCAGGAAGGTTTCTCCCAGAGACGAGGCATGCACGTGGCTCCTCTGTTATCTGCCCGGCGTGCATAGGAGAGGCAGCTGCCAGACAGGGCCCTACACATTTCCTCAGAAGAACACCTGTCTGTGGGAGTCTGGCACCCAGTGGCACGGGACCAGGGGCCTTGCTGAGGATGGCTGCCCAGGCAGGCCCTATACGGAGCCAGGGATTTGCACCTGAGTGCACAGGGAGAGACTGACTGCCACCTCTGAATGGCTTGGCCTCAGCAAAGATGCAGCATGCTCTGGCGGAGTGACGGGGATGGCATGCCACATGAACCATGCCTGGCACAGCCCGCGGGCGCTAGCAGCAGCCTGGCTTGTGGGGGCCAAGCTTCATGCTGGAAGACAGGAACTGCAAGTCCCTGCTCCCCACGTCACAGACCACGGCCTTCCACCAGCATTACTTAGCCATGTGCTGCACCCTGCCAGGCAGCCAGACATCCTCACTGCCAGGGATCAGAGGCCCAGCCAGGTCTGAGTGACATGCGCCAGGTCACGCAGTCACCGTTAACAATGTCAACCAGAGTCGCCCTCCTGAAGAGATTCTCTGCCATGGGCACCTCAGATACGAGCAGCTGCACGCCAGCCTCCTGCCGCTTACAGTGCCTGCCAGGGGCAAGCCACGCAGCCAACAGCCCCAGCTGGCACAGGCTGCTGGCAAGCATGGTGCAAGCGGTCCAGGGAAGGGGGCACCTCTGGACATGGAGCTGCTGGCTGCAGAGAAGGAAGGGGTAATCTGCGGTCCCTGCAACTCCTGGTATTCCACTTCCATGACCGGCTCCATGGAGCGGAGACAGAAGCCCAGCAGAAGCAGTGACAGCAACAGCCACGGAACGGAGGGAGCGTGCAAGGGGCTGCACTACAGCTCACACGAGCCGTGGAGGGCACTTACCATCTGCTGCAGGGACTGGATCTTGGTCTCCAACAGGTGCTTCTCTTGCATTTCGCTTGCTGCCTCCAAGTCCTTCAGGGAAATTTCCTGGTGAAGGCCCGTGATGATCTGCTGCAGCTCCTGGATCTTGGCTTCTTTCTCCAGAACCTATGAGAGAGAAAGCCGAGGTGTAATGCCCTGGAGCAGGAGGGGCTGGCAGGCAAGTGCAGAGTGCAGCTTTATCCACAGCAGGGTCCTTGCGCACTGCAGTGCTACGACGAGAGCTGTCCCCCAGGCTCTAAGCTTTGTCGGAACGATGCCGCCAGCCCCACAACTCTCGGAAAACTTGACAAGGGCACATCAAGAATAAGCTGCAGCAAAATCATCTCTGGAGTTTACAGACAACCTGAAACAGGCAGCTGCAAGGTGTGGCCTGCCCCATTCAACTCCACAGGGGTTACTCCAGGATATTAAAGGCACTGAGTCACAAATCAGCAGTGCTGATAATTCAGAGCTGATGCTCACAGAGATACCCAACGAATGTGTTAGCTCCGTGACCCTAAAACGTCAAGCATGAAGGGAGATTAGAAGGGGCGTTAGCTCAAATGATAGAGGGGGGAATTAGCTCAAATGGTAGAGCGCTCGCTTAGCATGTGAGAGGTAGTGGGATCGATGCCCGCATTCTCCAGATTGTTTTGGGGGTTGGACTTGATGATCTATTGAGGTCCCTTCTGACCCTAACATCTATGAAGCTCTCAGATTCCAGCTGCCCACCACTGGCAGCTTCTGCAACAGTCCCCCATGCCATGAGTGCACCCTATTCAGTACAGACTGCTCGTTGCCAGCTAGACAGGGTAGCAGGATAAATCGTCCTCTCTCCAAACCCTGGCCATTCCTTGGAGAACATCCACAGCTCCAACATAGCCAGACCCTGCCCTGCCACACGTTTCTGGCATGAGAGCTTCATGCGCCCGGGACATGTGGCCAAGCAAGTGCTAACATCAGGGCTTGCAGGAAAGGGAGAAGTGGATGCATGAGCACAGCTGAGCCCGCCACCGAAACAGCGCCCTTATAGCCAAGGAGAAGCAAAGCTGCAGCTTGCAGTTCTTGCCAATTCTTCCTGAACAACTGGAGATGCAGCTAAGACTGAACTGTGTCCCGTTGTGGACCCCCCACTACAGAAAGGATGTGGTCACATTGGAGAGAGTCCAGCGGAGGGCAATGAAAATGTTTGGGGGGCTGGGGCACAGGACTTGAGGAGAGGCTGAGGGAACTGGGTGTATTTAGAGAAGAGAAGACCGAGGGGGATTGAATAGCAGCCTTCACCTCCCTGCAGGGGGGCTGCAAAGAGGATGGAGCTGGACTGGTCTCAGTGGGGGCAGATGACAGAACAAGGAGCAATGGGCTCAAGTTGCAGCAAGGGAATTTGAGGTTAGGTATTAGGAAAAACTCTCACGAGGAGGGTAGTAAAGCACTGGAACAGGTTACTCAGAGAGGTGGTGGGATCTCCATCCTTGGAGGTTTTGAAGACCTGGAGAGACAAAGCCTTGGCTAGGATGATGTAGTTGGAGCTGGTCCTGCTTTGAGCAGGGGGTCGGACTAGATGTGACCTCCTGAGGTCCCTTCAGCCCTCATTTTCTATGATACATGATCGGACTTGGGCCAAGCTTCAGCGATGGTCTCTGCTCCCATGCTACCCCTACTTCCGGCCTGCACAGATTGCGCCTTGCCTGCTCACACCTGTGCAGAAGGCTGCCGTCACGATCAGCTTACCAGGCCTGTGCTGTTACCATGTGCACCCCTCCCTCCCTCATCTTTCAAGGCTCTCCGTGGCCCATGCCTACCGCATCTGTCGTCTCTCCTCCAACACTGAAATCGAGTCCTGCCCCATCTGGCCTGACGCCATCTCCTTGTTTCCCGTACTCCCTCTCCACATCCACCTGTCCTGTCATCTTAGATCAGAAGTGCTTTGGGGCAGAGATGGTGCTTACTGGATGTGGTCCTGGCCCATGATGGTGACTCCCGGGTGCTGTGGGTGATAAGCCACCCAATCTTCTCTTTAGCAGAACAAGGGGAGCGGGACACCTCAGTGCCATTCAGGAAGGACAGAAACACTCAGAAACAATGCATGCTTGTGAAGCCTGTGCAGATTACACCGTGTCCCCTCTCCCGTCACTGCAAACAGACTCTGCACGCACAAGCCAGACTGACCCTGGTGAGGTGCAATGAAAACTGAACCCATCCCTGAAGAGTAGAGGCTGTCCTGGCCACAAGCACGGGAAGAAGGCAGCCCAGCTCGGGCTGTGCTTGTCATGTTCACAGATGGCCCAGACAGTCGTGATGCGCACAAATTGCACCTCTGCTGCACAGCCAGGCAGCCATGATCCTGTTTGCTCCATTGACTCGCCGCGTGACCGCGGGCAAATCGTTCTATAACCATGTGCCTCAATCACCCAGCTGAAAAATTGGGTAACAAGCAGGAACTCCACTGAAGAACCTCAAAGAAAATTGTTACTGCATCTATCTTGAGATTTCCTGGGGAAATCGGCTCCCGTCTCCTCTCTCAGGAAGGATTTCAGACTCGGGTGTGGGAGCCGGTGCAAAGAGAGGATCTGACGCACTCCTGTAAAGGGTTGATTATGTTTCCTAGAAAGAGGGAAGCAGATGGCAGGAAACAACAGGTGCTGGATGTGGCGTTTGGGGGCTGATACCAGTGGGGTCAAGGCTTGCTCTGGGGAACTGGGATCTCCCCATACCACTGGACAAGGAAGCAGATGGCACATACCCACTGCAGGCACGGGCGTCTTCCCCAGCCTGCGCTCCACATGCAAGGCAGTCTGAGCTCTGCCTCTGCCTGGGCTTCCGCTCTCACCAGCGACCCCAAATGCAGCGCAGCTTCTCCTCAGACCGCTGGCACCGATTCCCAGAAAGCCCTGTCCCGTGCCCCACGCTGAGGGGTGTGGGGGGCTGCCACACCTGGCTGCCAGTCTGCTGTGCCCTGCTTGGAAGCCTGACCGTTTCCCAGAGGAAGGATTCGTTACCTCGAGGCTTGCATACTGCGGAGACCCTGTGACCACAGTAACAGAAACCTAGCCGCACGGCCACAGGCTGCAAGTGTGGCTGCGCTGTCGGGAGCCGGGCAGAGCTGCACTGGGGCCAGGGGGTTGTCCTGCCAGTCAGGCATCAGAGCCCGAGCAGGGCCGGCGTGGCGGGGAGCACACCTCGCTGCACCTGAGAGCACGGCTGCGCTGCAAGCCCCAAGGCTGTCAGTCTCCGGGCAGCGGCGGTGGTGGCACAGGCCTCGTGTCTGACACACAAAGGCCTGCCTTGCGCCAGACTGCTCCTGGGAGGGATTGTAGGCGGCTGAGCCCTGCCCCAGCACTCGGGCTGCGTGCTGGCTTGAAAGAACCAGCAGCGAGGGCATGGCTCCGAGGCACAGCCAGCGCCCCCAGACCCTCGCCAGTCGCCACTGATGGGAGGCTTGGCGGGGAGAGCAGAAACTATCACGCAGATAAAGCGAGAAGGGAGGAGGAAAACCTGAACCTCGCTCTGCAAATGCAACCGCTTTGTCAAAATAAGAGTCATGGCGAAACTCTCCTGCCACACACCTCCCCATTCTGGGAACTGTTCAAGCAGAGACCGTTCCTATTAGCTGCCAAGTCTGCACGCAGGAGGGAGAGACTCTGGCATAATATCTGCACAACAGCAGCTCCATGCAAACACCATCCCTGTAATGGGAAATATTAATGATGTAAAGCAGCAAGGTCACACGATGTGTCCAGGCAGCCCTTGGAAAGGCACAGTCTCTGCAGATATTACAGAGGAGAGCTCAGAATTGCTCTTGGTTCATTAGGCTTTGCCTGAGGGTTTTTCTTCCACTATTAACTACAAACAAGGTTCAGGTTCTTGTTACTCAGTTCCGTGCACACAATGCAAAAAGGTGAAGGGCAAGGTTTGCAAAGAGCCATTTGTAAATATGCTAAGATGATTCAGACGTGCTTTTAGAATCCATCAGACGCTCTGCGCAGCACATCACCATCACCCTCGACAGGAGCGCAGAAAAGCGGTATTGATACGGCCACGTTTCTTCAGCAAGGAACTGTATACCCACAAGGGTAGAGCGTCTGCCCATAAATATACACGCCGCACAGCGCCGCACAGCGCAATTCCCTTCCCCCTAGGCACTGACACGATGCTTCCCCACAGCCGGCCTCCTTCTCCCAGCTTTATGACCCCAATGAGATGAGCTCTCACTGTTTTCTTCCTCGTTACATTTTGATATTTCAAAGCATGGCCCGCTTCTCACTCCCATCTCCCTGCTCCACATTATTAATGAATTGGAAAGCAGACATCATTAGTTTTTGGAGACCATTTCTTTTAAAATTTACAGAACCCTTCATCTGAATCCCCAGAGCCAGTCTGCTGTTCTCATCTTAGAATCTTATTAGCATCATATCTTCTGTATCCTGCCATGCAAACTGCATTGCTATGCACTTTCTAGCACTTGACCCTTTTGCGGACGGAATTAATTTCCTCTTTGAAGATACAGCGGCATGCTGTTGTGCTTGTTAAAGACAGAAAACTCAAGCAAGAAGATGGGGAAGGCAGAGAAGAATATTCTCAGTTCAGCGCTGGCCACTGAAGGATTGTGTAGAGGCAAGCTGAGAGAAAGGTTGGTCAGGAGAAAGAACAGGTTGATGACTCTTTATTACCAAAAGCGTGTTGCAAAAGAGCATGTGGATAAACCGCCTGACAATACTCGCTGGGAATTTTCATTTTCACTTCCATGGCGTGTTTCTTGTTGGCAGCGGTCTCTTCGCCTGCGTCCCTCCACCCGCTTCCTGTGTATAACAGGTCCTGAGACTTCTGGCTGTACAATTAATGCAAATGCTACAAAGAACTGGGGCTCGCATTCTGCTCAGCGCAACCACAACAGCAGCAAAAATACGTGCTGCAGCTGAAAAAAATCTCCCCTACAATTATATTCTATTGAAAAGCCCCAAATATGGCAACATCACTAAAAGGCTTCCCACCTCAAAAAGCAAAACATTTCTATGAGAGGCGTAAACTGGAGAACTTAAAATGTTTGCCGGTCAGTTGGGAAGAAGTAAGTCTAGTCCTGCATCCTGCTCTGTGTGGAAAGCTCTTGTATCTCAGAGGGTCGGTAC